CGAGGGAAGGCCCGCGACCTCGGCGGCGGTCACACCGAGCGTCGACAAACGACACCGACTTGACATCATGCACAATGTGTTTTACATTTCAACATATTAAAGTGATAGAATATTTTGAATAATTAAAGCTGTTGAAAACAAACGTTTATTGTTTCAATGTTGTCCTCGAAGGAATTGTTGAAAAGGAATTTTGATTACTTAAAAATTTTGAAAATAATGAAAATATAGAAAAATTACTTAATTTATGATTTATACAGCTAATCCCTAAATAACTGTAATAAAAACCCCTACGAAAAATGCCCCTCAGCACGGCTGTGACACCCCTTTATGCCCGGCGCCCTGGGCGGCCGCCCCCGCCCCGCCCCGGGCGTCATCTGCGGCACGTCGCGGCGCACGTTATCGCCAGCCGCCAGCAGACTTGACGTGTTTTATATTCGTTATCTTCACCTTCGCGCACCTACTGTTGTGACATTTCGAAAATATTTACATAATTTGTAGTAAGTATTATGATGAACATATCGCGAGCACTTCGTTGTCATATCTTTATATAAACGTATAGCGTTGATTGTATCATCGTCCGAAGGATCGTGCGTGCGAGTTACATCCACCTTGACCAGGATTGACATCCAGTGAAAGCAGTATGACGCTGCGTCGACAGCTGCCCGTTCCTGCACCTCGCTCACATCGCTACAGCCCGTGGAGTGGAAACATCAACTACCTACTGAATATTGAAATGTTATATATAAGTTGCGTATGGCTTAGATTATCCTAAAAAAAATTTGTAACACGCGGTTTCGTACTACACTTTAACTATAATTAGCTTTCAGACAGTATTTCTATACAATGTAAGATAACGGGATCAAAAACCTGTAAACCGCTAATTACTTTTTTATTTAATTACCTTCATTTAATTGTTTCTCTGCAAGGCTGGCTGCGGCTGCGAGCTGCGAGCTGCGAGCGGCCNNCCCCCCCCCCCCAGCCCCTTCCACACTCACGGCTCGCAATCGACATAGCAATAGCAATGCCAAGTTTCACAGCAAGTTGGAAGTGGTTTGTGATTTAAAATTGTTCTTTGGGTCATTTTAAAATTCGTCGAAAAGATAGAATGAAAGTTATTATTTGAATAATTATCATGAAATCATAGATATTATTATATGAAAACAACTGTCTACAATTGAAAATTAACAAGATTCATCCTACTTTGTATTGTCAAAATAATCCAGTTATGTCAGACAAGGACAAGGAGTCTTGTGATGTCGTTCTAGCGAGTATCGCGCACTCGGTGACATGACGTAGAGATATTATTTGCACTTGCATATATGTTTACATTGAACTGAACTGCAAGCGATAAATAATATTTACAATCCATCAATATAGCTATCTGTGAGTTTATGACATAGATAATATAGTTAGCGATGACTGGTTCACCTTGCAGTATCGTGTGCGCCACGTCGCCGCGTCACGTGGCGAATGCAGCGCGGCGCGGCGCGGCGTGTGCGTAAAGGGATCATACGGTCATACAGGTGTCACGGGAGGCTTTTAAAACTTTTTTTCACTTAATAGAAACATCATTTTTTATACAATTTATAACCATTGTTGAAAATTGCTGAATAGTAATTAAATATATCGATATGCACCATGTAATATATAGATTATAATCATGCTTATGGCTTTTCAGAGAAGTTACTGAGAATTTGACAAAATCTCATGAATGTGTTATTACTTCATAGAACGATAGTGACTACAATAACGTTAAGTTTAATTTTATTTTTGCATATCATGTGGCAGAAATTAATTATTATAGTTAACACAATACTCCACACATATATCCACACGGATCTAAAACAAAAGACTGACTCTTTTTTCAGACTTGTTCTGAAACTTCGGCTGTTTGGCACTCTTTATACAAAAACACATCTTGTAGAAGTTCAGTTAACAGTCAACGCGTGCAGTTACGATCTTTCTCTTAAAGGGAGGAGGTTAGCAGAAGTTAGGAGGCACAAGAAAGGAGATTATTTGTGCGTCCCGTCCTGAACCAGTATTGATTTGCAACAATTGGCTATAAAATATTCATAAACATGTTTTTGTATGTATGTATGCGCTTTCAATTTCTGGGATGAAAATAAATTTTCCTACCTACCTCTGCCTTAAAAACACTTTCACATTTGGTGGCTGGAATGTGTTAACAGCGGCCGGCGAGTTTATGACCTCGTTTATCGCCCCACAAATACAGAGCCTTTCGAAGTTTCGAAAGGCTCTGTATTTGTATATGCTCTGTATATGGTATATATATATATA